ACCCAAGGCCAAATCCTGATATAAAGACTCTCTTTGTGGATCACTCCTGTCGCTTACCGAATGATGCACGAGCACCATCCCCTGTCAACAACCCGCTGCTTGGATCACTACCAAAAGCCGGGGGGTTTCCTCCTTTAGGCGCACATGGGGTAGGTCAATCTCCAGCTGAATTTAGTCCTATTTCGATACTTACACCTTCACATACCGTGCTTGACTTTCCTTTTATATCTCCAGCCATTTCAAACAACACCTTCTCAGGTTCCGACACCTCTTGCTGGTTGGATGTCTAGTTCTTCCTCTGTTCCTCATCCAGCTGTGTCTGGAGGAGCCATAGCTCTAGGTGCTCCATCCATCCAAGGTATTTTTTCTTTCACAGAAGCTGTGTGAAACTATCGTGTTTCACATTTTATCCTTGCCTTTTTCAGGACCTTTAAGTTTCACCTGCGATCTATGTAACACTTTCTCCTGTTTTCTTTTTATCTTAGCAGCTTTGAAGCACCCGAGAACTCCTCCAAGTAATTCCGCTGTAGACTATCCATCAGGTGATTCGGACCATGTCTCAAAGAGAACAAGACCCATGGGAATCTCTGACGAGGTGACAAAAATCAAAGAAAAAATATATTTCACTCTACTAGTAATGTTGGTTTACACGTATTTCTTCTTTGCTCCTCGAATGTAGGTGAATCTTGGTGTGAACATGTTACCGATGACATTCCCGGGACAGGCACATGGTCATACCCAAGCCTTCAAAGCACCTGATGACTTGCCTAAGACAGTAGCACGAACTTTGAGCCAAGGATCATCTCCCATGAGCATGGATTTCCATCCAATCAAACAGACTCTCCTACTAGGTCTGTTTCGTCCTCTGTGTATCTGTTCCTGCTCTGTGATAAACATCATTTTGTAACATCAGAAGTTTCTTGTTTCATTTTGCATTGTTCCAGTTGGTACAAATGTGGGGGATATTGGGCTCTGGGAAGTCGGTTCTCGAGAACGTCTAGTACAAAAGACTTTCAAAGTTTGGGACTTGAGTAAATGTTCAATGCCCTTGCAGGTGCCTTTCTTTCTGAAAATCAAGTATTTTATTTGAAAATTTACTGACCAAAATTTCTGGTCTTCAGGCTGCTTTAGTGAAAGAACCTGTCGTTTCTGTCAACCGTGTGATTTGGAGCCCAGATGGTTCTTTATTCGGTAAGATTTTGTGATTAGAAATGCTATGTCAACTGTTTTGGATATTTATATGTTCGTTTTCAAATGCAGGAGTTGCTTATTCGAGACATATTGTACAGCTATACTCCTATCACGGTGGCGAAGATATGAGACAACACCTTGAGGTGTTATATCGTTTACTACTTTTTTACGAGCGTTTCTTCCATTATCTGTAAATAACAGCAGTTTTTTCCTTTCAGATTGATGCTCATGTTGGTGGTGTAAATGACATTGCATTCTCCACTCCAAACAAGCAACTATGTTTTACTACTTGTGGCGATGACAAAACCATCAAGGTTTCAGTCTTTTTGACATTCTTTTCAATAACTCCTTTTTTCCTTTGAAACTCAAAATGTATTAATCAGTACGTCAAATTAAGGTCTGGGATGCTGCAACGGGTGTAAAAAGGCATACTTTTGAAGGCCATGAAGCTCCTGTTTACTCTATCTGCCCTCACTACAAGGAAAACATTCAGGTATGTAGCAACAGTTAAACAATTTCGTTGCAGATTTAATATGGCCTTGACTTGGTTCCTTCTTCTGGTGCTTAAGTTCATCTTTTCAACTGCGCTTGATGGGAAAATAAAAGCGTGGCTATATGATAATATGGGTTCTCGGGTTGACTACGAAGCTCCTGGTCGCTGGTGTACAACGATGGCCTACAGTGCTGATGGAACTAGGTAATAAAATGGTTTCACATTTCTACGGCTTAGGTTACGTTTTGATGTTATACTGAACTTAAAGTCTGTTTATTCCTTTTGCTCACATCGGTAGGCTATTTTCTTGTGGGACGAGTAAAGATGGGGATTCATACATAGTTGAGTGGAATGAAAGCGAAGGAGCTGTTAAGAGAACTTATCAAGGATTCCACAAGCGTTCTCTTGGTGTCGTTCAGTTTGATACTACTAAAAACCGATATCTTGCTGCTGGTGATGACTTCTCCATTAAGTTCTGGGATATGGACAATGTACAGCTGTTGACTGCCATTGATGCTGATGGGGGTCTTCAGGTATGTTAAACACAAATCTTAATTGGAAACCAAATAGTTCTTATTCGCAGTCATGGCTCTATGTATATTGTAGGCAAGCCCGCGGGTCCGGTTTAACAAGGAAGGCTCTCTCTTGGCCGTTTCTGCCAATGACAATATGATTAAGGTTATGGCAAACACAGATGGTTTAAGGTTATTGCACACAGTGGAGAATTTATCTTCTGAATCCTCCAAGGTGCTGAGTTTTCTGCTCTTTGGATCTTCAATAAGCAACTACTAACCCCGACTCTGGAATTTCTTTAACACGAATTTTTCCATTCACATATGTAGCCTGCAATCAACAACATTGCGGTGGCAGAGAGAGCTGCTGAGAGACCTGCCTCTGTAGTTTCCATCCCTGGAATGGTAGGAAAAGCCAATGGTTTTTTTTTAATTCAATGTTTTCCATCTTTTAGTCCGCGTCCAATCCTCATGATTCCTCACTTACCTTCCTAACAGAATGGAGATTCACGGAATATGGTGGATGTGAAGCCAGTGATTACGGAAGAATCAAATGATAAGTCTAAGATATGGAAGCTTACTGAAGTCGGTGAACCCTCTCAATGCCGCTCGTTGAGACTCCCTGAGAATATGAGAGTCACCAAGGTACCAACACAGAGACTTCACATAGCTATTCTTATATGGCTTTCATTCTAAAGACTCAATACTTTTGCAGATATCGAGATTGATTTTCACTAATTCTGGAAATGCGATATTGGCATTGGCATCAAATGCTATTCATATGCTTTGGAAATGGCAGCGAAATGACCGTAACGCAACTGGAAAGGTACATATGGTCTAAAATTTGACTTTAACATCGCAGAAAAAGGTGAAATAATGAAAAATCCATTTCTTATTTGTATAGGCAACGGCTTCTTTACCTCCTCAGCAGTGGCAACCAGCGAGCGGAATCTTAATGACAAACGATGTGACTGAAACTAATTCAGAGGAAGCTGTGCCGTGTTTTGCTTTATCCAAGAATGATTCCTATGTGATGTCAGCATCTGGAGGAAAGATCTCTTTATTTAATATGATGACGTTTAAGGTAAGATTCCACAGTGCTCTGCGTAATGAACACAAACAAACGTTTCATTTTGTGACATTTGATTTATGTTGTTGGCTAAGTGCAGACAATGGCTACTTTCATGCCACCTCCGCCTGCTGCAACGTTTCTGGCTTTTCACCCTCAAGACAATAACATAATTGCAATTGGAATGGATGATAGTACAATACAGATTTATAATGTTCGCGTTGATGAGGTCAAGAGCAAGCTTAAAGGACATTCCAAGAGAATTACCGGCTTGGCCTTCTCCAACGTACTAAACGTTCTGGTTTCCTCTGGAGCAGACGCTCAGGTACTGATTCATCTCATCTTAATCAAGAATTCAGATGATCAAGAAGAACCAGTCTAAGTCATATTTGTATATGTGCAGCTTTGTGTATGGAACACAGATGGATGGGAGAAGCAGAAGAGCAAGGTTCTGCAAGTTCCACAGGGAAGATCCACCGGTGCTCTTTCAGACACGCGTGTTCAGTTTCATCAAGATCAAGTACACTTCCTCGTGGTCCATGAAACTCAACTCGCTATATACGAAACAACCAAGCTTGAATGCATGAAACAGGTTTTTAGTAACTACCACTTCTTCTCCTCTATGTCTCTCCACGATCTATTTACATCTGAAACCCCTTTCCAATTGTTTCAACTTTATGATCTCAGTGGCCTGTGCGTGAATCATCAGCTCCAATCACACATGCCACATTCTCATGTGATAGTCAACTAATATACGCAAGTTTCATGGATGCTACAATATGTGTCTTCACCTCTGCAAACCTTCGATTACGTTGCAGAGTCAACCCCTCTGCCTATCTGCCTGCTTCTCTCAGGTGAGTAACAAATTTGAATGAATAAAAACAGAGCAATCTTAATATTTTGGTTAAGAAAAAACAGAGTAAATATTGATTCTCCGTTATGTGTCTCTGCAGCAACTCGAACGTTCATCCACTGGTGATTGCGGCTCATCCTCAAGAATCCAATATGTTTGCTGTGGGTCTCTCAGACGGTGGAGTCCATATATTCGAGCCGCTTGAGTCAGAAGGTAAATGGGGAGTGGCTCCACCTCCTGAGAATGGCTCAGCCAGCGGTGTCGCGTCTACACCTTCTGTTGGAGCTTCCGCATCCGATCAGCCTCAGAGATAGAACCTGCTTCCAGTTTTTTACTATGCTTTTTTCTTGGTTTGTTTGGAAGAAAGCATTATGTATTAAATGTAACATATATAGCAAGGTGAACAGTTTCCTGATTGGTTGATTCGTTGGTACTTTTGTTTTTGACTAGTGAATAATTCGTTGTTGCTTGCTTCTTATGTCTTCTACAGTTTGGATGAATCTCTCCCTTCTTAAGTTTTTCTAGTTTTGTATCCCATCATCTCTGCAAAAAGCTATAATTGGAAAAGATTTTTTTTAAAAACAAGAGAAGTTTTGGATCATCCAAAATTTGCTCATGTGTTGTTTATGGCACGGCTCTTATATACACGTGAGAAAAAGAGCCCAATAGACACAAAACACTAGGCCCATTACTAGTCAAATAGGTGCCGGAACAAAATAAGACCCATTAAGGGCCCATAATATCGAATGCCGGCTCTCTCTACCTGTGTCTTCCTCTATATGAGAAACAATTGTTCTGCTTATTTGAGGATTGATTAGGTTTCGATTCGCTAGGGTTATTAATCTCGATCATTGCGTGATGTCGCTAAGTGAATGTCGAATGATGGAACTAGACGATGATTACGTTGAGTACGTTCCAGTAGCGAAACGTAGAGCTATAGAAAAACAGAAGATTCTCCAACGGAAGGGAAAAGTCTCTCAAGAAGCTGAGAAGGAATCCAAACCTAGCTTGCTCGTTCAATCAACTCAGCTCAAACGAGATGTACTTAGTGCTACAGATCAGATCATCCAACAAGAGAAGGAGATGATGGATCACTTATCAGATAAGAAGACGCTCATATCAGTTTGCGAATTATCCAAAGGTATAACTTACACAGAGCCTATGTTAACTAATTGGGAGCCTCCTCTACACGTGACAAACATGTCTAGGGAACAGATAGATTTGATTAGGAAGCAGTTACATATCATTGTCAACGGTGAAGACATTCCTGCTCCTATCAAGAACTTTAAAGATATGATGTTACCAAGACCTGTTTTTGAGACTCTCAAGGAGAAAAGGATCGTGAAGCCGACACCTATTCAAGTTCAGGGTCTTCCTGTTGTTTTGTCAGGGAGAGATATGACTGGAATTGCGTTCACTGGTTCCGGAAAGACTTTGGTTTTCGTTTTGCCGTTAATCAGGCTTGCTCTCATGGAGGAGAAGAGGAGGCCCATTGGTCCTGGAGAAGGGCCCATTGGGCTTATTATTTGTCCTTCTAGAGAGCTTGCTAGGCAGACTTATGAAGTTATCCAACAGTTTTTGGCGCCTTTAGTCGAAGCTGGACACGTGTCTTTGAGGTCTTTGCTATGCATTGGAGGTGTGGATATGAGATCTCAGATGGATGTTGTGAAAAGAGGTGTTCATATCGTTGTTGCAACACCTGGGAGGTTGAAGGATTTGCTGGCCAAGAAGAAGATGAATTTGGATTCTTGCAGGTACCTGACGTTGGATGAGGCAGATAGGTTGGTTGATTTGGATTTCGAGGATGATATTAGAGAAGTCTTTGACCATTTCAAGTCTCAGCGTCAGACGCTTTTGTTCTCCGCCACTATGCCTACCAAGATTCAGAACTTTGCAAAGAGTGCTTTGGTGAAGCCTGTGGTGGTTAACGTGGGAAGAGCTGGAGCTGCGAATCTTGATGTTATCCAGGAGGTTGAGTATGTTAAACAAGAAGCGAAGATTGTTTACCTCCTCGAGTGTCTTCAGAAAACTTCTCCGCCTATTTTGATATTCTGTGAGAATAAAGCGGATGTTGATGATGTTCACGAGTACTTGTTACTGAAAGGAGTGGGAGCTGTGGCTATACACGGAGGGAAAGATCAGGAGGATCGAGAGTATGCGATCTCTTCGGTCAAAGCTGGGAAGAAAGACGTATTGGTTGCGACGGATGTTGCTTCGAAGGGACTTGATTTCCCTGATGTAAAACATGTAATAAACTACGATATGCCAGGGGAGATTGAGAACTATGTGCATAGGATAGGAAGAACAGGTCGGTGTGGGAAGACTGGGATAGCTACAACGTTTATAAACAAGAACCAAAGCGAGACAACGCTGCTTGATCTGAAGCACTTGTTGCAAGAAGCTAAACAGAGGATTCCACCTGTACTTGCGGAGCTGAATGATACAATGGAAGAAGCGGAGAGCGTTGCTAACGCAAGTGGTGTCAAGGGTTGTGCTTACTGTGGGGGTCTTGGACATCGGATTAGAGAGTGTCCGAAACTGGAGAAGCAGATGAGTGTGGCGATATCTAACTCTAGAAAAGATTACTTTGGCTCTGGTGGATACAAAGGAGAGATATAATCATATAATCAGGAGGGTCCTTTTTTTATTGCAAAGTTCCACTGTTGTTAACTGTCACCTATGCATATACTATGTAGACTAATAATCATTAACGAAGGTTCTTTAGTTTTGGATCAGCTTTGTTTTATTTAATTTTTAGTTCATTACATCGAGTTTAAGGATTTGTTAAACAGACATAAGAGTTTGTTAAAGTCAACGAAAGAGACAGTTACAAAATAATCCAATGATAGAGAAACACGTGGCGGAAGGAGCTGAAATTAGGTAGGTATTAATCTTGACCTTCCATCAACCAATAGAAACGAATCATTAGATAATAAAATACAATCATCATCGTCATCCTATTGCAGAACTTAAATGCGTAAACGGATAAAAAGAGGTGAACAATCCAACAACATCTCTGACTCTGATTCAGCTTTTCTATATAATCCTCAATTTACTTTATCATTTCTTTATTCAATCCTCTTCTTATTCTTCCTCTCAGAGAAAGAAAAAAACATATTGATTCAAGAAGGTAAAGAACACAAAGAAAGATGGCAGGAGAAAAAGGTTTCATTGGATCCATAGATCAAGGAACAACAAGCACCAGATTCATCATTTATGATCATGATGCTCGTGCTGTTGCTTCTCATCAAGTGGAGTTCACTCAGTTCTATCCTGAAGCTGGGTAATATCTCTCTCTCTCACCTTCTTGTTGACTTTTTTATGGTCGATGATCCCAATATTGTCTTATTGTATACTAATCTATCCGAAAGTTTATAGTATGATTTTCATAGTTACATATTCTTTCGGATTTCTCAACGATCTATACAATATTTCTCTGTTTTGTTCCATCATTTCCAAAAATTCATCGCAAAATTCGAATATGTGTTCTCTGTTTAGTGGATTTGATGCGTAAATTGTCACGTTTCTTGAATATTGTTATATTGACATTAGATATTATTATGTTTGTGAATGAAGATGGGTGGAACATGATCCAATGGAGATATTGGAAAGTGTGAAAGTGTGTATCGCCAAGGCTCTTGATAAAGCCACAGCTGATGGTCACAACGTAGACGGTGGCTTGAAAGCTATTGGACTCACGGATCAGAGAGAGACCACCATCGTCTGGAGCAAATCCACTGGACTTCCTCTCCACAAAGCTATTGTCTGGATGGATGCTCGCACCAGTTCCATCTGCAGGTACATATTATTACATAATAAACACTCTTTCTTGCCTCTCTGTTCTGTTTTCTTGAATGGTTTTGTGCTAAAAATCATCTTTATGGTTTGATAAAAATCGTTTTTATTGATGATCTTTTCACAGGAGATTAGAGAAGGAACTCTCAGGTGGAAGATCCCATTTTGTTGAGTCTTGTGGCTTACCCATAAGCACATACTTCTCTGCCATGAAGCTTCTCTGGCTGATGGAGAATGTAGATGCTGTTAAAGAAGCTATCAAGAAAGGAGATGCCATATTTGGAACAATAGACACATGGCTTATCTGGAACATGACTGGTGGTATCAACGGCGGGCTACACGTCACTGACGTCACCAATGCTTCTCGCACCATGCTCATGAACCTCAAGACCTTGAACTGGGACGAGGAAACCATCAAGACTCTTAACATTCCTGCTGAGATCTTGCCTAAGATTGTGAGCAACTCGGAGGTCATTGGAGAGATCTGCAAAGGCTGGCCTATTCCTGGTATCAAGATCGCTGGATGTCTTGGCGACCAACACGCTGCTATGTTAGGACAAGCTTGTAAGAAAGGTGAGGCCAAGAGTACTTATGGAACAGGAGCTTTCATTCTTCTCAACACAGGAGAAGTCCCCATCAAATCAGGACATGGACTTTTGACTACTCTGTCTTACAAGCTCGGTCCTCAAGCAAAGACAAACTATGCTCTCGAGGGGTCCATTGCTATAGCTGGAGCTGCTGTTCAGTGGCTAAGAGACAGCCTTGGCATCATCAAGAGTGCTAGTGAGATTGAAGAATTGGCGGCTATGGTGGACTCAACGGGAGGAGTGTACTTTGTTCCAGCTTTCAACGGTTTGTTTGCTCCTTGGTGGAGAGAGGACGCTCGTGGTGTATGCATAGGGATCACTAGGTTTACAAACAAGTCTCACATAGCAAGGGCTGTGCTGGAAAGTATGTGTTTCCAAGTGAAAGATGTGTTGGACTCTATGAACAAAGATGCTGGTGAAAAGGGTTCTCTAGATAATGGTAAAGGGGAGTTTTTGCTTAGAGTTGATGGTGGTGCAACAGCCAACAACCTTCTCATGCAGATTCAGGTAGTAATGATGATCTTGATGATGATTGTAGTTTATAATTGTGAACATGTTTTAAGTTGTGTCTCTGGAAACATTGGCTAGGCTGATTTGATGGGAACTCCAGTGGTGAGGCCTGTGGACATAGAGACAACAGCACTAGGAGCAGCCTATGCAGCTGGACTGGCTGTTGGGTTTTGGAAGGAAGAAGACATATTTGAGTCAGGAGAGAAGTCAAAGAACTCCAAAGTTTTTAGACCAGCCATGGAAGAAGAGACCAGGAAGAAGAAAGTGGAGTCATGGTGCAAAGCGGTCGAGAGAACATTCGATCTTGCTGATCTCTCTATCTAAGCCTGAATTGGATTCTTTCTATTAAAACCATATTGTCATTTCCTACAGATTATATTCTTATGTTACTACAGGTGGGGCTATGTTGTTAAGTCACATTATGATATATGTATGTTGGTTAATCCGTTGAATGAATGATTTATATAATAGTATTGTATGCTTAGTTCTGTTGGAAGTAACATTGCATCAGAATAAGATTTAACTTATTGTTAACCAGAGTTTGGCCTCTGTCTTTTTATGTCACATTATTTTAGTCTTGTGAAAACTGGTGAAGTGGTTACAGAAATCACACAGTTTAGCCTATTCCTGGCGCCAAAAGAGAAGAATATTAAACACAAAGTTTCTGGCTATAACCATGTCATATATCACCAAGGGGATCCAATACATGGTTTCATCTCTTCTTCTCACCATAGATATTGTTCAGTTGCTTTCCTTGAAGAATTGGTGCCAAGATAAATTGGTGTAAGACACTGAAAACAGCTAGAGAATTGAGCCCAGACGGATAGGGCCATACAAGTTCCTCACTGCCTTCTATCCCAATGTCATAAATTACTAAGAGACGGTGGTATCGACTCATTCAGTTTGCTGTAAGCAACAACATGATAGAGTTTAGATATCCAAACTCAGCTAAACAACAATCCATACTCAATCCTTCTCTTGTATAAAACAAATTTGATTACAAGTTGAGACTAATTACTCCAAATATGCAGTATTTTTTACTGTACAAGGTGGAGCATATATTTCCTTTGTAGATTTTCACCCACTTACTGTTGTGTTCCAGATTGTTTATTAATTATTGTTTTTTCTTAAAAACTGTTATGCTTCCCAACAAGCATAAATAAGCAAATTGTTAGTGGCAGTGGCAGAGGTAGCTTGTTACCAAGGGATCATGACCCATATGGATTTTCTATAAAGAAAAATCCAGTTGTATTTTCTTTTGAAACATGATGAAATACTGAAAATTTATCACATTGACCCCTATAAAGTATAATTGTTAACAGATTGACCCCAAGAAAACAAGATACTACCTCAGCCAGTGGTTGTGGTTCCTCCACTATATATGCTTATGTTTTTCACCTTATGTCTTAATGTCTTATATGCAATTCATCAACCACGTCTAAGTTATAATTTGCAATATATTCGTCTGTGCATGTGATCTGAGTTATTATTAGACTACTGTATATGGTTGGTCTGAGGTATTGGGGCATCATTAGTGGAATATAAACAATGAATTTGATTTGTTTTATTTATTAATTACTTATAATAAGTGGCATGGGGCAGTAGAGTCTATTGTGAGAATGGATGAATTTTTCATTCTCTCTTCTTTTTCTCCTTATGTTACATTATTTTATCGGAAAGAAACTTATCTAAAGACTACTAGTGGGATAATGTGAAAATATTAATTTGTTTACCGAGTCAACAAAGGACCGGCTATTTCTCATTATCGCAAATTAATCTCTATATGATGATGATGTTCTCACTTCTCAGGGGAAGTGGCAACAATTCTAATAGTAAAGTCTATGGCCAGCTTGGGGTTTGACCTTAACGTTGTGTAACCATCTAGAAGAAGTTTGAATCATATAATATTAGTAAGTTATCAGCAACTAAAAAGATAATTATTTTGGTCAACTTAATAACTAAATTAATTTCTAGACGTGCAAAGTCAAACATAGTAATATAGTGTTGGAAAAAAATGTGGAAGACGGCTTTCTTTAAATAATTGGTTTAGTAAGCAGACAATGTCTCTTTAAGACAAAAACAAAACAAGCTTCTCTCCTATTCTTCCAAAGGTTCCAACTTCATACATCAATCATCTCCACACCACCATGAGCCACCAGAACCACCACAAGTCGCCAAGCTATACCACCGACCCTAACACCATGTTCGTTCAAGCAGATCCCTCAAATTTCCGCAACATCGTCCAAAAACTCACCGGACCACCACCGGAACTCTCCGTCGTCTCCGCGGCACAGCAGAAGCTTCCTCTGACTCCAAAGAAACCAGCCTTCAAGCTCCATGAACGCCGTCAAACATCCAAGAAAATGGAGCTGAAGATCAACAACATCATAGATGACTCTTGCAGCCATTTCCACCGAGGCTTCCTCGTCTCTCCCGTCTCTCACCTCGACCCATTCTGGACGCGCGTGAGCCCACATTCAGCTCGTGAACATCCCCACGCGCCGCTTGACAAAGAAGAGCAAAAGGCCATAGCCGAGAAAGGGTTCTACTTCCTTCCGAGTCCGAGAAGCGAGGGCGAGCCAGCACCGGAGCTTTTGCCTTTGTTTCCTCTACGTTCTCCTAACGGTACTAATCAAGGGACTAAAGATGATTATCAAGACTCTTAGAGCTCTTAATTTCAATATTTGGTTGTTTTGTTAGAGCTGATATGACTTGGTTTCTATTATCCTTCATTAACTTTTTTTTGAAGGGTCAACTATTCCGCGTGTACTCCACTTCCATTAGATTATAATCTTTAAGTACTTTTATTTATAGTTCTTTATACGCGTGATCAATTACTTTACAATTAGTCAAGGAAGACATCATTTCGCAAGTACTACGTGGATTCATAAACAAACTCACGTAGTTTTGAAAACTTAACTACAATTAGTTAACATTATTTACTGTCAAAAACATTCGTTATATCTTAAAAACAAGTCGATGCATGCGTGTATGAGGTAAATGAATAGATAGCAACCAGGACGTGTTAGTTTGGTGGTGAACGGCTTGCAGCTGCAGGTACGACCCCGGGTTCGATTCGTATTGGCCATCGTGACTTTCAAATGGATTCTTGAGGAGAACAACACATGGTCTAGGATACTCAAACCGAGATCTTGCTAAAGGCTTTAAGCCTACCATATCTGGAACACATAAGTGGAACCAGGATATTCTTTGTAAATAACAAAAAAAAAAAAAAAGAATAGATAGCCTATATGTCGGGGTGGTGGGGGAAGGACCTGTATAGACTTACTTGTAATAGATACAAAAACGTGTAGACTTTTTGGTTAATGAAGAAAGTCAAGAAGAAGTCGTTTTGGTGATAGGAAACACACATTGGTCCATTCATGTATTTTCATTTTGGTGTGTGACAGTGTGAATGGGACTCATAAAAGCTGCCACCCGTTGGATTTAATGATAAGGCTGTGGATCCAACGGATACAATTCAGTTTTCCTGCTAAAATAGTAAAAAGGAGTATTAAATAATAAGATGTAACTTGTACCAGAGGGTGTCTCTGTAGCTCTCTTTAAAAAGTCAGTTTGGTGTCAGTCTATCTTCCAACTCTGCCTCTCAGTCTCAGGTGTGTAATCCAAAATTTTCAAACCTTACTAGCCGTCCATTTTGTCCTGCTTTATCCAAGTGCCCTCCTCGGCTCCTCCATCCTAAGCCCATTAAAGTTCAAGAGACCATCAACAAGATTTGGTGTATGGACCTAACTTCAATAATAAAAACAAATAGTGGGCTTAATAAGCCTATTGAAGACCAAATTCAGGATGAAATTGGCAAAACAGTTAAAAAGTGAACGATGGAAGAGAAGAGTAAAAAAGCTATAAAACGTGAACGGCAGGATTCGAACCTGCGCGGGCAAAGCCCACATGATTTCTAGTCATGCCCGATAACCACTCCGGCACGTCCACTTTCTGTTATATCGTTTCAGTTATTGGCTTTAACAAAATACACAATTATGTGATTCGGTGTCCTTCCGTGTAAACTTGACACTCGACACTGTCAAGAGATGATCCTCCCGAGAGTAAAAATCTTGGTAAGAAGCCTAAGGATGAGGGACAAGATGAAAATCCAAGCAAAGAGCACAAGAATAGAAACGTGCATTCGGACACAAGCAAATGCCACCACCTGAGCCAAGTTCATAAATGGTCTGTGTGCCTCTATGGAGTTATTAGTACATATTTTGAGCTGTCAATGTCATGTTAATCTCTATAAGTATACTTTTGTGATTGAGTTGAAGATTTTAAACTGTGCAGGAAGGAGTTGTTGTTTTTGTGCTGTGGGGCTTTGTTAACCGTGAGAGGAGTACACTAAGGTCACATGCCTTGGCAATGAGAGCCACTTATCAACCTGACTGGAACTCTGACTCCACCTTGTTGATCTGTACTATTCCTAACACTCCTAAGTTTCATCAAGTTGAAACCAACCCCGGAACAATTGTCTCACGGGTCACCGCTCTTTTTTTTTACTTTCCTGAGTGATCCAGTGTATAATTGAAATTTCTTCTACTTTGTACTGATGATCTTTTAGTTGTCTTCAGAAATGGATTAGTGAGTGTTATATGCAGAAAAAGGTTGGTGGATACGGAGCAATACCTTATGCATGCTGGGAAACCATGGAGGAAAACCAGCCAAGATAATCCTACTCGAGGTTAAAAAGATATACATAAACATATTGGAAAAGCTGTAGATGACTTTTATGGGTTATGCTATCTTCGTCTCATTCCACAAAAAAATTCGATGTTCAGCTGATTTTTTTTGTCTATTTGTATTCCAGAAAGGGAAAAACAGTTGTTCATAACATCAGAGAAGCAAGCAGAGAAAAAATCCAGAAACAAGGGCAACACCATCTACTTCATCCAAGGTCTTCCTAAATCTATAACTGATGGTTTTGATTAAACAACAGGAACCTTATTATGCTCCAAAGAATGTTTAAAAGAAAAAAACCGAAACTGACCGGCTCGAATAGATTTTTGAGTAATTAAAATTTTCTATAGACTGGTTTGAATTCGGTCTAGTTTCCAATATTTCTATATCAAATCATTTGCGCAAAGTTGGGTTTTAAGACTTGATTGGTAGAGCTTTAGCATAAGCATTATACTCTCTATTATCCAATCAACATTTGATCAAGAAGTATTTAGAAAAACATTTATCAAATGATAATGCTCTCTAAATGTTCTTTCCTCAATACTCTCATATGGATTTATGATGTTGGATTGGTTGGCATATATACAGTTTGATACGGTTAACTAGGTTCAGAACTATTTATTGCTGAGTACCGGTTTGGTTGCGCTGAAATTTCTCAACCGATCGAAATTGGTCTAAACCGGACATGTAAACCGGAAAAGCATACCGATTTTGGTTAAAAGAATACAGACAGAACCTAATTTATACCCTCAGTGGTTTATTTTGTTGTGTTCTTCATCTTTGGTTCCGAAGTAGGGTTGAAGAAGCGGATAGTACGCCACCTCTCTCGAACTCGCGAAGAGAATCTCTCTTCTCCTTCCCTTCTTCTTCTTCGTGAGCTCTTTTAGTTGCGCAGGAAAAAATGGGGGCTTCGCTTCCTCCAAAAGAGGCCAACCTCTTCAAGCTCATCGTCGTATGTTCCGCTTCTCTCTTTCTCTCTCTGTCACTGTGTTAAACCCTAATTTAAGTTAATCCGGTCAATGTGTTGGGGTCAATACACATTCTTTTACATGACAAGTAAAGTGTTTGAAGTTTGATTTGTCAAGTTCTTAGGTTTCAATCGTCTATTGCAAAGAATCTTATTGGCTCGCCTAGGATCTTTGAAACTGGATAAAATTTATTGCTTTGAGAATGTATAGCTTCTACTCTTTTTATACCTTATATGCATCATTCACTAGTTAATAGTTATCTTTATCAAGTCTACTTTAGCATTTGATTTTTGTGTTTGTTGACTACGCTACTTGGAATACTTCATATTCTTTCGAAGAAATATTTATTTTGGGTGATCTTGTAATGCAGAAATCTTATGAGACTAAGCAGTACAAGAAGGGACTCAAGGCTGCTGATGCCATCTTAAAGAAGTTTCCTTCTCATGGGGGTAAGTTTTCTTTTATCATTACCCTCGCGAACGTTTCTTCTGTTGTTTTGTGATTGTATGTTGTTATTTCATTGTTATCTCGATTGCTAACTCTATGGTGTTTTACTACATCAGTTGCGATTATACAACTTTTACCTGGTCTAATAGGTCTGTCCGTAGTTAAGTATCAACCACCGTTCGCAAATTCATTTCATTTTCTTTGTTCCGAATGATACAAAAAGCAAGTACATTATTTTCTTAGTAATGAGGCTATACTCTTTAGTCAAAAGAGATGATTGGTATTGTTTATTTTTGTTAGTTGAGATCTGTTCTGTTTTTCGATAAACGCAGTTCCTGCTTCTGCTGAGTTGTTCTTTTTTTTTACTGCATATTTGGCGTTTTTTTTTTTAAGTTTTGCTTTTCCTTTTTTCTAAGATTTGTTTTTATTATTATTTGTGATTTCCAGAGACTTTATCGATGAAAGGATTGACTCTAAACTGTATGGACCGCAAAACTGAAGCATATGAGCTTGTTCGCCTTGGAGTCAAGGTTCGATTGTGACTTCGATAATCACAATCCTTATTTCTAGACGTAGTATGATTTTTATGTTTTCCATGCAGAATGACATCAAGAGCCATGTTTGCTGGCATGTGTTTGGTCTTCTGTACCGGTCAGACAGAGAGTATAGAGAGGCCATCAAATGCTACCGAAATGCTCTCAGAATCGATCCTGAGAACCTTGAGATACTCAGAGACCTCTCACTCTTGCAGGTAACTATTGTATAGATTTGAGGAGAGTTTATTAGATGGCAATTCATACCTTTATCATTATTCCCTTTTGTATACTCATTTTAGTGTTAATCTCTCTGCCTATGCTTTCAAAATTTTATCTTACTGTATACTTTCTTATTCCTAGGCACAAATGCGGGACTTATCTGGTTTTGTGGAGACCAGGCAGCAGCTTTTGACTTTAAAGCCTAATCATCGAATGAACTGGATTGGCTTTGCAGTCTCTCAGCATTTGAACGCCAAGTATGTTCTGTTCCTTGAAACCTTAAATCTAAATATGTTGTTTACTTTTACTCACTTGAATGAAATGCTAGTTTTTCGTCTTTGTACTATTCTCTAGCTAACTTGTTGATGCGCTGGTGTATTTATATGAATTGCAATTGTAGTCTTAAACATTTTAAGAATCAAGTGGTGTAGTGTACACCTTTGTTGGGATGTTTCATACATCAGACTTATAGGCAATAATAAATGATGAACAACATCCGTTAGAACTATATGCCTCTCCAATCAGCTTAATGATTTTTGTATCTTTGACGAGAACCTTGATCTCTCTAACATGTTTTGTTTTATACCAGTGCTTCGAAAGCTGTTGAGATTTTGGAAGCGTTTGAAGGCACCCTAGAAGATGATTACCCTCCTCAGAACGAGCTATGTGAACACACTGAAATGATGTTATACAAGGTATCAAGCAGAAATGATACAAGTGTCATACCTTTACTGTATCTCACTAGTTTTTTTCCCTGGAAAACCATGCTTGGCGTTAACGGGTCCATGTAGTTTCTGATATTCAGTTGGCTCTAGCACAGCTTTGATATCTGTACCTGGAGGAAATCTCAACTGTTTATATCTTCTAGGTTTCCTTGCTTGAGGAGAGCGGTGCTTTTGACAAAGCTCTTGCGGAGTTGCACAAAAAAGAGCCGAAAATAGTAAGTTCTTGAAGCTGATTGTATTATATATTTGGTAATAGGACACACGCATATAGTAGATTTTTACATTCATCGTGTGGTTGTTTGTAGGTTGATAAGTTGTCTTACAAAGAACTAGAAGTATCTCTCTTATCGAAGCTTGGTCGTCTAGAAGAAGCCAATAAACTCTACAGAGTTTTGCTTTCCATGAACCCTGACAATTATAGGTTTGTTTCCTTTGCATTTCCAAGTCTTTCGAGAGCTCTTAGTTTTGTAGTTTCGTCGTTTCTCTATTCTCAAGTCACGTCTGCTTCATTATTTTTGCTTAAGAGTTGACGATTTTTTCCTATGGCACTCTACTCGTGTTCGGTTACTGTTAATTTTTGTCAAGGAATAAGTTCATTCTTGTACGTTTTCAGATATTATGAAGGCCTCCAAAAATGTGTTGAATTGTATTCAGAAAGTGGTCAATATTCGTCTGACCAAATTGAGAAGTTAAGTGCCTTGTACCAGTCTCTAAGTGAGCAGTACACTAGGTCATCCGCTGTTAAGGTGAGAAAAGGCGTATCAGTGTGGAAATACAATTTTAATATCCTTCCACTTGATAGGGAACAACGGGTTGCCGATGTGTTCTCTCTATTATTTTCTGGCTCCTGATTAGTGTAATTCTACGCCTGGTATTAATTTATTTTCTATTTCCCTAATTTCAGAGGATACCATTGGATTTTCTGCAAGATGAAAGCTTTAAGGTGGCTGTAGCAAAGTACGTTAAACCTCTACTGACAAAGGTATCTTTTCGTGCCCTCGAGTCTCTTTGTTTCCACAATTTTTCAAATAGAATATGTTTTTTATATTTCTTGATACTTGTCGCAGGGTGTTCCTTCATTATTTTCTGATCTCTCTTCTCTGTATGATCAACCTCGCAAGGTTTGTTTCTCTGCTTTGTCGCAAATTTCCTTGTATCTGGCTTCACTTACTTTGCGATAAATGTTTTTATATGTATTTTGTTGTCTAGCCTGATATACTGGAGCAAGTAGTTGTTGAGATGGAGCATTCAATTAGGACTACTGGAAGTTACCCAGGAAGGTATATAACTGAATTCATTACTGAAGTATAATATATTGTCTTATTTTATACTAGATCAACACTGACATGCTATCAAAATTAGTGATATGATAAATCATTGTTGTGATTAAATCTTAACTGATGCAGTGATATGAAAGAGCCCCCGTCAACTCTATTGTGGACATTGTTTTTCTTGGCCCAGGTTCACTTTTGCTATCTATCTTACTTATACTCTATACAGCTTTTCTATTGAATTTTTGTATATCTTATCATGATACATACTTTTCATAATACAGCATTATGACAAGCGTGGTCAATATGATGTTGCCCTTGGTAAAATTGACGAGGCCATTGCTCATACGCCGACAGTGATTGATCTGTACTCTGTCAAGGTATCTTTGTTTATCGTGGCAAAAAAATTATTACATTATTATCCATCTTGTTTCTTCTTAACCATTTTCTGGTTTCTCTTTACAGAGCCGAATAATGAAGCATGCAGGAGACTTGACTGCCGCTGCTGCACTTGCCGATGAAGCTAGATGCATGGACTTAGCAGATCGCTATATAAACAGTGAATGCGTTAAGCGTATGCTGCAAGCAGATCAGGTTTACATCTCGCTTTTGTTCATATATATTTCGCTTGGTCAGTGTCCTTGGTGGTTAGGCCTCAACACTCTTTCTTCGTTCTGTGAATTTTCTGGTGAAGGTGACCTTGGCTGAGAAAACTGCTGTTTTATTTACAAAAGAGGGGGATCAGATCAACAATCTTCATGACATGCAGTGCATGTGGTACGGCTTTATAGAAGGCTGTGTAGTTTTGTTAATGTAAAATTGACATATCAGATGCATTTCTAATGACTGTCTTTTGATTTCATTTCGTAAAAAAGGTATGATCTTGCATCTGGAGATAGCTACTTCCGTCAGGGTGACCTTGGACGTGCCCTGAAGAGGTTTTTGGCTGTGGAGAAGCATTATACTGACATTTCTGAAGATCAGTTTGATTTCCACTCGTATTGTCTAAGAAAAATGACTTTGCGTTCATATGTTGACATGCTTAAGTTCCAAGACCGATTACACTCATTCCCATATTTCCACAAAGCAGCAATCAGAGCTATCAGGTAAACACTTCGTTGCACAAATGTATTCCAACTATAGTATCTACTCCATGGATGTATGATAGATTCCGTTAAACTGTAATCACATTTGCCTTTCGGCTCGCTATTCAGGTGCTACCTGAAATTGCATGATACTCCCAAATCAACTGCTGAAGAAGATGGAATGTCAAAGATGGCTCCTGCTCAGAAGAAGAAAATCAAGAAGCAGAAAAAGGCAGAAGAACGAGCAAAGAAAGTAAGTATTGTCAGTGTTTTGTCGAGTGTATTGATCACTTAGGTGGCTTAAGAGTGGTCTTCTTCGTTTCAGGAAGCTGAGAGTAAGAGTGAAGAATCAACTGCCAGTGGTGTCTCTAAGTCTGGCAAACGAAATGTGAAGCCTGTAGATCCAGATCCTCATGGGCAAAAGTTAATTCAGGTTGTTATTTGCTTCACTCGTAAGATGTATACTTGTCTTTGCCATAATAGTGTAGTATGAGTATCAACTTTATCAGAGGCTTACTGGAAAACTAAATTTGTACAGGTGGAAGAGCCAATGGCTGAGGCTTCAAAGTACTTGAGACTACTACAGAAGCATTCACCTAATTCTTTGGAGACTCATCTAGTCTCTTTTGAGGTTAACATGAGAAAACAAAAGTTTTTACTTGCATTCCAGGTAACTAATTTCTCGTCTAGTGGTCATATTCAAACTCATGTTTCTATAATAGCATGGGTCCAAGTTATCTAAGGAATTAGCTGGCTCTATTTTCAGGCTGTCAAGCAAATGCTTAAATTGGATGCGGAGAGCCCTGATTCACATCGTTCCCTGGTATTAAATCTCTGCTACTTGCGATGTTCTAAAGATGGCTTAATCATGCAAAGGAGAGGAGGGATAATAATGTTCTTATTTCGGTTTATGGTTTTGAATTTTGATGGCAGATCAAATTCTTTCTCAAGACAGAATCAACAAGTGCTCCAACGACTGAAGCTGAGAAACTTCGTTCTAGTGTCCTAGAGGCTGAGCGCCCATCAATCAGGTGACTAGTCAAACTATTATCCATTCTCTATGTTGGTTTTGTATATCAGTTGTCAAACTGTCCTTTCGTTTGCGTTCTAGTCAATTGCAGAATAAATCACTAGTGGAGGTAAACGAGGAATTCCTTGGTAAACACAAAGGTGCGTATCAAATTGATTACACGGTACTCTTACTGAGATATTGCAGAGTCTTATAAAAAATTGGTAACGTGTGCATTTCAATTCCGCAGATTCTTTGGTGCACAGAGCTGCATACGCCGAAATGCTGTACCTGTTAGATCCGAGCAAGAAAACTGAGGCTATTAAAATAATTGAAGACTCGGCCAATAAAGTGGTTCAAACGTAATGCCCTATTACCTTATGGTTGCTTGCTCTCTGTGTTATTTTTTTCGTATGTTTAACGTCGGCTATACTTGTACAGAAATGGATCTCAAATAGAGTGGAAACTCAAAGACTGTATTGCAGTTCATAAGCTTCTAGACACAGTTCTCCTTGACTCAGAAGCTGCCTCAAGTAAGCATTAATTATCTTAGCTATGATGTTGCCATAAAGCTGTTTGTGGATGCATTTTGATTTATAGCGTTTGGTTTGGTCTTATGATCTAAAGCACACACTTCCATGATATTAAGGTCCTTAATGCTCAGAAGTATTAAGCCTGGTTTTGGGTGCAATTGTAGGATGGAAATCACGCTGCGCCGAGTATTTTCCCTTTTCAACTTACTTTGAAGGCAAACGCAGCTCTGTGATGCCTGATTCAGTGTACAACTCGTCTCGCAAGAGCAACGAGAATGGCGACACACCAAACCATCCAATGGGTCAGACTGAATTGAGCGATGGACAAGTCGAAGCATTCAAGAGCCTCTCTGTCTCACCCTGAAGCTCTTTTTTTGTTTATCAATAAGAGGCAAAATCTACCAAGGAGATAATTTTCAGTAGACAGATCTCATCCTTTGTTGCAGACCTGGATCAAACTTGAGATTTAGTGAATCTTTGGCAGAGGTGTGGATCAAAATATGCCAAATGTGTATAATTGTTTTTCTATATAAAGGCTGGATTTCAAGTTTGATGAAAAATGGCAGAGTTTTTGTTTCCCTCTTGACACTTGAGGATGTTTCAAACTTTTTAATGTTGTACCCTTTTTACTCCTTTTTCTCCGCAATACTTATTTTCACATTATCTGTTTTATTTTATGTATACTTGTTGACCATCTCTGGAAAATTTTGATTTGAAGAACCTTTTGTGTAGTGTTGCAATTTTTCTACGTCAATGCTGTTGTGCTGTCTACCTTCTCTCAAATGGTGTAGACTTTGAACTGCCTTGAGTAGAAACTACAATGATGTGAAGAATCTTACCTTGTACCTCGTTTGTAAGTGCTGAAACGTCAAATAGAGAATAGGGAGAGTATACAACCAGAGGTGTAAAGGCATGCGACTTCGGTTTTTCGAAACCATACCGAACCGTTGGTTTTTGGTTAACCGAAAATTTTGAAATCTATTCCAAAATTAACCGAATTAAATTTCGGTTCGGTTCGATTATCGGTTAATTTCAGTTTTCAAAATTAATTCCGAAAATAATCGACTTTATTGGTTTTCGATTAATTCCAGTATAATTTCCTCAAAAATCAGACATTTTCAAATATTTTTGGTTATTTCGGTTAATTTCGGATATTTCGGTTTAATTCCGTTCGGTTTTCGGTTATTTTTGAATATTTTTGATTTTTTTTTAATTTCTAATTTTTTTTTGAAAAATCATAAACCAAACCGAAAATCAAATTACTTTTCAGAATCATACCAAACTAAACCGAATTCTAACCGAAATCGATCCGAAAACCGAAAAATTTGGTTAGAACCGTTCGGTTTAAAGTCGCAGGCCTAGGTGAAATCCAACAACTCATGTAAACAATGGGGCTTCGGGATGTTTATCTTTAGCAAGAACCATAACTACTATGGCCGCAACAATCTGAGCAAAGGTGACAACTAACTCAACTGAGATCCAAAGGGCAGAATTCAATGGACTCCTAGTACTACTACCTACTTGAAATTATTACAATTTTTTAAAATAAAATAAATAATTAACTTTTCGAGGAAATATATATCTGTGGAGAATTGTAACAGGAAGTAGAGCATGTCAAAAGATAGAATGAAATAATAACAAACAAAGCGTGATGTGGTGGGTGACTCTACAAAGAGATATTCATTCTATGGCAACATCTCATTAGGTTGCGAGTATTGGGTTCCTTTCTTCATCAATATCTATCGCAAGGACACGGTCAGCCTCTGAGCCACTTGGTCCTTCCTCGTACAGTGTCGGAAGATAAGCCTTATATGCCGGCAAGTACCTCGACACAAAGTCATTTACCTATAAACAGATGTTTCAACGTTCATCATTTCTATATAATAAGCACAAGAGTACCACTATTTATTTAGCTGTCATAAGAATGTCAAAAATACCTCATCATCTGACATCCCAGCTTTGCCAGCCTGCCGCATTGCTATTTCCGCCTGAAGACGCCATCTGTATACATAACTTGGGTCCTTGATTTTGATGACCACCCAAGCATCGATGTACTTGTCCCATGCCTCGTAATACGCTTCAAGGTTCTTGTTCACTATCTCCAGCTACAGAAAGAGTAACAGAGTTTCTCATCATTAGAAATTTAGAAATATTATAGAGATATATTGGTTTGTATTAAGGGAGTTGAAAATACCTGAGGATCCACTGCTTTAACGACTTCACTAGGAAGTGGTTTAAATCCAAGCATCCATCCCTCAAAGAGAATCACCTGAACCAAACAAAATCAATGTTGGTCTTGTTTCATTTTAACTTTGAACAGAAACACTTCAAGATAGAAATATATACCTTGAGAGGTCCTTCAACTTCAGGCCATGTTGTTGGATCGGCTCTGTCACCCCTTCCGCTATACGCAGACTGCATCCAAATAGGAATATCTCAACAAGTTAAGACCTGCTTCCTCTGTTTTTATGATACAAAGTGATAAGGCAGAGAAGGTAATATCAAAAACTGTGACACTAACCTTATCGTACCGAGGAACTTTCATCTTCATGCCTGTGTCAATAACCACCCAAAAAAAAAAAAAAACTCACAAGGTAAATAAGATTAATAATAGCCATAAAATAGAACTTATATTTGATGAATACTAACCTTCCTTGGTAAGTTTAGTCAAGGCTTCTATTGTTTCGACAGAGAATGGAAGATCATGGCTTCCTGCATTCCCACGATACTGTATACGACACATATGAAACAAATAATGATATTTATTTTCAATCTAAAAGCAAACGGACAAAAGAAGAAGTGTGGAGGATATGAAGATGAGTTTACCTCAAGGAGTGCATTTCCTGGATTCTCTTCTCTCAATTTAGCCTGGTGACAATATAATAAACATATAATTGGAAGTTAAAAAAACGGAGAAGAGAAAGTACAGAGAGTACAAGTAAAAATCTTTAAAGTAGTATCATACCTGGCCTTCTGCAGTCAAGTAAAAATCGTCTATCGATATTGTCGCAGACTTCCTGAGAATATTAACTTTATTAGTATTAATAATCATCACTAGGACTTATTAGATGAAGTAAAACTACTGCAGTAGTATGGAAGCAATTTACATTTTTGTAGTTTTGAAAAGGTAATCAAGCGCAAACACAAGTGTAGTCTTGCCACATCCTTGAGGTGCGCTAAATCCAATCTGCATTTTTTTTTTGCCAATCACATCAATAAGATTATTTCACGCACCATCTTTAATTTATGACAATGACTAAAAAAAGTAACAAGTACCACTAGTGGAGGCACATCATCTCCATCTTTAAATTTAGAGTTATGCAGAGCAATCTGGTCTTGGCACCAAACAAAGACAGGTATATAGTAATGGTAAAGCCTAGCTTTCTGAGGGATGGTGAGCTTAAGCTCATTAAGCTGAAAGAGTCTGCATAGCTGTGAGCCATATAGCAACCATTTGTCTATGGCCTGGCCAACTTTTTCAGGAGTGATACCGATCTTTTCCACGAGTGGGCCCGAGCATATGAACTCAAAAAGGTCTGAAACTGAAGAGACATCCACTGTTTTTGTTGGTAACGCCGAGCATTTCTTCGACGTCCAGTTACTTGTTGTAGCGGTGTAATGAAGCATTGCGTTGTTGTTCTGTATCCACGAGCAACCACAACCTACACACACAAAAATTCACAAAAAAAAGAAGGTTATCATCAACCTAAACAAAAGCAAGACTCAAAACAGAGGAAACAAGGGAGGAGGAGTTTATTACCAGACATGGAGAAAAGGGTTTGAAGCTTGTCGGAGGAGGATGAAGAATGAGTAACGACATGGTTGTCCTTAAATATGGAAGAAGAAGAAGAGGGAGATAGAACACGTCTTTTGATGATAAAAGAATTGCAAATAGGGTCAGAGTGACATGGAAACGGATAACCTTTGACCAAAGACCTCTTAATATTATAATGCTCAAGGGTCGCTTGCCATGGAGACGAGATCAAACTTGAAGTTGCCCCCGCCATTCTCTCTATGTTTATCTATCTCGAAGAAGAAGAGAGACACATCAGGAAGCAACGAAGGAGAAGCAACTTGATGATATTTTTTTATTATTTTCATTAGGACAAATTCAATCTTTCCACATAATATGTGAGTCATATTCATCCTTCACGTCGGATAACGCGTAGACCACTTGTCTCTCTCTGTCATTACTCTTTTTATATGTTCTATGTGTTTCACGCAAATTTTAAAAAGTTATTCAAATTATTATTTTATTTGATTATCTAAATTAATAAATTAGGAGAGTAAAAGTAAAACTAAAAAAATGTATCAAATATATATTGAAAAAAATAAAATACTACTTAAAATGAAATATTTTTTTCTTTTGATCAGAAAATGAAATAAATTTTAAACTTTAAAACCACAACTAATATAGACGAACGAATACTTACTAGTCAATAGTCTTGCCGACCAGAACAACTCAGGTTTGGAAGAACCAAATCAGTCTACACTAAACCGAAATATACCGGGTAATTTTGGTATGATTAGACCGTGGAAAGAATTGATTACTACTGTTTCTTTATTAATCGTCGTGCGTGATGACATTTTATTATTTTCCCATAAGAAAAATTCACTCATAGTATTATAATTCGTACTAGGTATTTTGCCTGTATTTACGGTAATAATAAGTTTACAAAAATTTATAAATAGATATATTATCAATTTTAAAACTATTAAAATAAAATTTTCTCACTCTCGCCTACTTAGTATGTGAGTCACATTCATTTCCTCACGTCGGATAACGCGTAGTTAATCGGTTAATCCACCACTTGTCTTTCTCTCTCTGTCATTACTGTCTTTTTATTTTATTTTATACTTATTAGTCAATAGTCTTACCGACCAGAAACAACTCTCAAGTCTTAAACCACCAAACACGTCTACACTAAACCGGATTATACCGTGGAAAAATTGATTACTGTTTTATTTAACAGAGAGTTACAGGTGAAAATGAACTCAAGGACGACAAACCGGAACATAAGAAATGTTATATCGGTCAGGAAATGATAAACCGCTCGGTTTAGTCTCTTTTTTTAGCAAAATAGCCTATCAGGTAACTCCGAAGAAGTGAACACCGCCACGGATTTGAACTGTAAAAAATGTTTTAAAAGTAACCACACAAAAATTGTTAAATCTCGATTAAACCAAATGGTTTATTATAACCAAATTTAAACTAACTTTCTTTTTACCTTGTCTTGTTTGTACTTCATACGTATAGAGTTTAAAGGACATCCTTTGGTGTTAAGCTGCAGTTCTTGCAAGCCCTGAACACATGCTTTAAGATCCGAGGCTTTGTACGTTGTGTAATGCTCTAGCGTTGGATTCTGGACAAACATTAATGCAAATCGTGTGAGATTCAAGATTTGTAAAAACATAATAACATGAAGAGATGTGTCTTTAAGAGAACAAGAACAGACCCAAGGGTGGCTTGATTGGTTCATAGTCCACTTGGCAAGAAAAACAGCAGAAGCAGCTATAACCGAAGGAAGATACTTCAAGAACTCATACTCTATTAACGTCAACTCCGTCAGATAATTCGCTAGAAACTCCATTTCCACACTTGGCATCACGTGAGAAGCTTGAGCTGCTCTGAGAAATCTCCTGCAAAAACAGAAACTTTTGTTATCACTACAACAGTTTATATGAAGCAATTTTTTTCCACTGTCTAGTGAGATTGATTACCTGAGGAATGTTTTTGAAGTTGGAGTGTAAATCTGAAAACTAAAATGCTTCAGTACTTGAGTCTCCATCTCCAAGACCTGATCTCTTGTGTAAGTGTTGTCCGTGATGAAGCAGAACTCTTCAATGCGTGGTGCATAGATTTCCTCATACTTCCTTTAATCAAAGTTTCAAGAAACAAACATAACTTCTTTTAGTTGCTCTGCCTTTTAGAACAAGCATTACTGTTTTGATTTACTAGTGATGAGGAACTTACGAAGCAATGAGCATACAAGTGATGCCGAGTAACTGAAGTCTTTGTCTTTCAATGTAGTTCCCATGTAGAAACCAATCTATGAGATGTATTGTGAGGTAGAGAGTGTCAGGTACAAGTGTGTATTCCTCTGAGACCTCTACAAGCCAATCAACTAGGATTCCCCTCATTGTCTTAGTCACATCTCTTTGTGTTCTCTCCATAAAACCAGATAGTGGTCTGCGTTTAAGCTGTTAAATAGACTTAAGTCGTTAGATATAACCAGATGCATCGTCCTAAGACATCAAAAACTCAAGGGGGGTTATTACCTCAGCAACACGCAGGTTGTAGTGGATTTCAGGTGCATATATGCTACAGAGTAGAGGATCCTTATCATCTGAATCAATGTCAATGAATTTTGAGCTACTTGTCACAGTGGAACTTCCTTCAACATAGCTTCTTTCAACTGTTAACCATTTGCAAGAAGAACAAAAAGCATCAGAAAACGTTATACATCACTTACACAGCAATAGTATGTAGACAACTAGTAATATTCACCTGTAGAAGTTGATCTCCCAGGAGGTCTTGGAGGCAACCTCGAACTCGGCTTTTCGATAAAGCTACAAGACGCTTCGTTTGTGCCTAAGCTCGTGGCTGTACAGCCATGTACCTTTGCATCTATAACTTCTGAAGTAGTAGAAGATGATGCCACCTTGGAAGAACTTGCCCTTCCCTTCTTTATCTGTTTGATATTCTCCACCTACAAATGGGAAAGAAACCACACTTTTGTCAGCAAAAACAAACATTTGGACAATATAAGAGGCAGCATTGTATATATAACAACCTGAATTTTAGCTGCATTGAAGCATCTTCTGTAAGAAACCTCGCACGAAACGTTTGTGATATCATTAAGAACAGCTCGCCTCTTAGGTGCATTGCCTTTCTTATCATCCAAAGCTGTTCTTTTACTGTTTGGTCTCAGAACCCTTCCTTGGTTGATCAGTGTAGTAGTATCAGCCACTTCTGAAGATGTTATCAGATTAGAAGAAGCACGCAGAGCAGACGCAAAGGCACGAGTTACAGGACGACCATTGAATGGTATGGTGTTTCCAGAAACAGCTTTCTCAATCCCCATGGCTGCTACCTTGCTGAGACGATCCAACAACACTGTTGATTCGTCTTAGCTGAAGATCAGCTTCAGGTATAGATCTGTGAAAATTAAAGTAAAAGATCAATGCTATGAAGATGTAACAGGATAGATAGATCTATATTCAAGTAAAACAGACAAGCTAGCATGGAAAAAAGACAGATGCATATAAGAAGAAACTGTTTAGTCCAAAAAAGAAAGTTGATCTAATAATGAGACAAGCCAGAATTGCAACACATAACTGTTACACAGAGACTCTTTTTTTTCTTTCCAAAATTTCCAAGGAAAATTGGTTAGAGAAGGAAGATACATTCAAGTTCCAAAGTCTCAAACTTTTTTTTCATTTACTTATTGAAGAAAAATCAAAACAGTATTGCAGGAAAACCCTCATAGCCTCATCAAAACCAAAATTCACGGAAAATAAAAAAGTCGCAGCAGATTTAGGAAAAGTAGTGTTCCATAATATAAAGTTTTCAAAAGAAAATAAATGTTTATATTACCGATTAAAAATCGGAAACTTTTAAAAGAAAAAAGTAAGAAGTACATGAAGCTTCTTCTTTCTTCTTCTTCTCGGAAGCATCTACTTATTTCTCAGGAGATAAACAGACCCATGAGAAAATAATATGGAGCTTCAAGATCTCACAAAAGAACCTTATCGATCAACTCTTAGAAAAACATCAATGAGCAATGTAATCAAAACTCACATTTTCTTTTATCCAAGAAAACAAACAGACCCATCAAGAAAACAAACAGACCCATCAAGAAAACAAAAAGAAACTCTCAAGAAAAAACACATCGGAACATCGTCTCTACAAACCCATCAACAAAAAATGTTTATTTAAAAAAGAAAAAAAACAGAGAAGATGGAGATAGACTGCGAGGGGAACTTACTTAAAACTCTTGAAAAGAAAAGAAAAGGACTTTTCTTTTATTTTAGGGAGAAAGAAGGGAGCTTTGTTGGCAGATGGAGAGAAAGTAAATGTATAGTGATTTCGCTTTTATGCACGCAAGGGGGCTCTCTTCTCTGTCTGAGCGGGATTTCATCAGAGAGTGTTTTTTAAGATATTAATTAAATAATACAATTTTAAAAATATATAATAAACTTTATTATTAGAAAGAAATGTTTATTTATGTGCTTCTCTAACTAAACTCGTTGACTGTTTGACCCATCAAATTAGAAATAACACTCACGTATTGTGATTAGTGTTTAAACTTTTCAATTTAGAGTATGTGAATATGTGATTGAGCATGATTTTTCATAGATTCTGTTTGAGTGACCATTTACCTTTTTTACATCTTAATCACATTTGCTATTTTTGATTCTCTGTCATTTTCCATTTCACCATTAACCTGTTTGTATTTAATGGGGATTTTTCATGCAGATGTTTTTTCTTTCTTTCTTTTCGAATGTTTTCTCATTTATTTTTGTCAGTAACATTTAATTTTGTTTAAACAAATAAAGTAAAGGAACCATCGAGGAGTTGTTACGTTTTCCTATGCACTGTGACTCTATTTAAAAATTTTGGTGTTACTCAACAGCGTGGCTATTCATCCAAAGGTAAATAAAAGTGATTATAAAACATTGATTTTGCTTTAAAGGTAAATAAAAGTGATTAAGTTACAAACTCTGTTCAAATTTTTAAGATTCGAAGTTAAGATTCCTGGCACTCATTTTTAATGGTAGTAAAATAAAACAAAGACCAAATGCACGTTTACCCCTGAATCAGTCTTCTTGTTTAGCTTTTATTTTTACGTTTCTGTTGATCTTTATATCTACGTTTTAGCTTATCTGGACACCACATGCTTAAGGATCCATCCATAAATTCTAATATATCCTTTCAGTTAAACAAATGATTATGTAGAACTTAGAGAATCCGTTTTATTCCTACTGGATTTGCTCCGTTTTAAAACAATGCTTGGACTAGGTCCTGAATTATTTGATAGAACTTTTAGATTTTATAATGAAACAAAACAATTTATCACATAATGCGATTAATTGTTTAATTTCATGTAAAACAAACTTATATCTACATTTGTTAACGATTGCTTTGACCATATCTACAAGAACTTGGTCATGTGGGAGGAGATTTCTCCACGATAAAACCTTTTTACACAAGTATTTCAAATCACAGGAATCATAAAAATGTAATATACCTCATTGTCCTTGGACGCATAATAATTAAAAAAAAAAACAAAAGCAAGTATAATATTGTTTCAATGGCTAGATCCGCAGGAGCCACTGGGAAGAAAATATTAAGGGAATAGAAAAGTAGTGGAATCTGCATTTTCAGGTTTTGTTATGTTCCACGACTTAATGCTTAGCATGCTGATTATTTTTTGTAAGTATACATTTATTTTAAAATGACGAATTATATATTGATGAAACTATACTCTCCATATAGTATTTGACATCCCACTGTAAAATAGTATATGTAGATAATATATATATTATATATATAATATATATATCATTTTCTTGTTTGATATATTTTCTTTATTCACTGCTATCTGAAATATTGTTTCAAAACGATTTATGTATGTGTAGGACTGACTAATAGTTTAGTAGTTTGTACAAGTATTTTCATTATGTCATTGTCATCATTCAGTTCAAAACTCCACATCACATATAAAAATGAATTATAGACATATTTACATTCTTTTACTGTTTTTTTTTGCATCTGAGGAGCGAGCACTAAGTTTTGCTTTTGACAAAACCTCAGATTAGAAATGTAAACTGAAAATGAAATAAATGTAAGATTAAATTGTGGGTTTATTTGAAAAGTGCGAAAAGTAAAAAACTATGATTATTTTGTTAGTAAGCGAAACGGCGATAAAGTCAAATGATTATAAGTCAAAATGTTCAAACGAAACTTTGATGTTAAATGATTATAATCGAAGAAATCATATGAACAAAAACGTATTCAAATTATACTTGTAGGACATTTTATATACATGCACGACACACGAGTATTTGAAAAGCTACACTAAGAACCAAAAGTCTTTATCACTAACCACATGGGAGATTGGGAGTTACATATTCAAAGCTATAAATCTAGGATTTCAAAATTTAAGAGAAAACTGTTGTATCGATGGATTATATAAATGCTTGTTTAAATTTTTATTGTTATGTATAAGATGAGTGCGTTAAAGCTGCAAGTGTGAGAAGGACGTAACGAGAGGACGTCGTGGACCTAATTAATAGTAACGTAGATCTACACGATTCAAACTAACACACAACAAAAAAAACAGAAATATAAAAGTGAGAATTTCAAAACTGAGAAGACATAAACAGATGTATAGCCTTAGAAACATTAAAACCATGTCGTGTTTGGTCGTTCCTTTTTTTGCATTTGTTTGAGCATGAATGATTTTAATGTTTGTAAGACCTTATATGATCCGGTCAGTATTTAATGTCAAAATTTTATACATCCCGCTATGATTTTTTTGTTTTGTTTGTAAGACAATATAATCCACTCAATATTTTAAAATGATCATGACTCGATTTGTAACAATTAACATCCAACATGGGGGCTCGAAGAATGTATCATATGCCCCACTGTGTGTGTGTATTATACCTGCACACAGTTTTTACTGCACACATATACTAGCTGAATATCAAAAGAGTGTTAAGAAAGTTAAACTGGATCCATTGGAGTATGATCCCTAGATGAGTTAGGAATTATACGAGAGTTTTTCCTATTCTATGTTGGTTTTTAAGATTTCCTATTTTAGTTTTACTTCTCTTGGTATAATTTATAAATACCAAGCTTGTTATTCAATAAAACATAACTTTCTTTTGATTCCAAACTAGATTTGTTAGGATCAATGAGCAAACGTTGGAGATGAAACATCTGATTCCTTTTGGCAAGCAAAGCAAGATATCAGTTGATGATACCGCAACATATGTACAAGAAGAATCATTCTGAGTTAATAATGGAGTTTAAGGCTCTGCTTGATGATTTTTCAATTGGACGAGTCTGGAAAGCATCCTCTTCTTCTAGGCATGTTAAAACAGGTTTTCCGTAAACGGACATAAACAGGTTCCGTGTAATTATATTGTCCGTTTAAGACCTATTTATTTATGTAATAAAGTTAAACGGGTTTAGTCGGGAACAAATCCGTTTATGTCCGTTTACTATACGGGTTTATACAATATTAAACGGGCCGCCCGCTTAGTCCGTTTATATCATTTTCATATATTATACAGACTGTGACATTTCTTAGAAACCTGTAATAACCTAATGTCCTAAAAATAACTTGATCCACCCATCATACCATAGTAAAACAAATAAAGACTTTAGTCAAAAATGAGTAACGCCGTGGAGGCTTGGATGGGCAATAAACTACCGGAGGAACACAGAGATTTCAAAGTGGTGCGGTGGCTAGCTCATCGTCATGATGTGTTTGGATACTCATACAGCTGATTCTTCTTCTTCGACCACAAAACTCATTCGTATTGGGATGGTGTTCCCTTTTGGTTTATGTATATATATCCATTGTCTTTTACTTTATTCAAATGATTTTATCCTTCAATAACACGCTAAAATAGCCTTTGATTGTTATAACCAAATCCAAAAGTAAAATACTTGGATTAGCTTTATTGGGTACAAAATCTTTGTTAATAGAATTCAAACACAAAGTTGGAGCTTGAGCTTTTGATATTAAACCGTTAGAACTTAAAAGAAGAGGGAGGTAGTTAGTAGTACTTAGTAGAGTTTATAATCAAACCTTTTATTTGAACGAAGAGAATAAAGTCAAAAACCAAAATGATTTAACTTTACTGGATTTAAAGTGGGCCTTAAACGGGCCCAGATCTAAATTCCAATTCTACATCATTTACGTGTCTCCCATCTTCTTCTTCTACTTTGTCTTCCCCATCGGTTCCGACGAATCACATCACTCCTGAAATCTGAGAAAGAAACAAAGAAAGGGGTCCCGAGATCGAAGCTCTTGGCAAGAAGGAGAAATGGTGGGTAATAGTACTAGTAGTAGTAACTCGCTGGCAGGTCTACAAGATCACTTGAAATTAGCAAGAGAATACGCACTCGAAGGCTCCTATGACACCTCCGTCATCTTCTTCGACGGCGCCATTGCTCAGATCAACAAGTAAAACCCCTCTTCCTTCTCTCTCGAATCTTGAATCTACATTTTAATCACCCCTCCTCAAACCCTAGCTACTTCGATTTTGTTAATTATTAATGTGCTTAGTTCCAATCCCTAGAAAACTGCATTGCCCAATGACATAATTAGAATTATTAGAGATAAAAGAGCAATCTTTAATTAACTATCTTTTAGGCATTTAAACAGTCTTGACGATGCCACGTCACGAACGAAATGGATGAACGTTAAGAAGGCAGTAATTGAAGAAGCTGAAGTTGTGAAGCAATTGGATGGAGAGAGGAGAGCGTTCAAAGAAGCTCCCACTGGTCGTCGTCGTCCTGCTTCTCCTCCTATCAATACTACCAAGTCTTCTTTTGTCTTTCAGCCCTTGGATGAGTATCCAACTTCTTCATCCTCCTCTGGTGCTCCTATGGATGATCCTGATGTCTGGAGGCCTCCTACGCGTGATGTCACTAGTAGAAGACCTGCTAGGGCTGGTCAGAGTGGTGTGAGAAAGTCGCCTCAGGATGGGGCTTGGGCTCGTGGTGGTGGCCCAACAACAAGGAATGCTCCAGCTTCTCGAGGTGGGAGAGGTGGTAAGTCTGCTGCTGCAACGGCCCGTTCTTCTGCTGTAGGAAAGAAAGGAGGAGCTGCCTCTAAGTCTACAAAGGCTGAGTCTACTGTAAGTTCAAATATAAGTGTATGTATGGTTTACTAGAACTAGTTGAGGTTAGGTTGAGAATGTTCTCATGTATCAGAAGATCATGTATTCTGTTGCTACGTGATTGCTAACAACTATTAAAAGATTTTGTGGCTTTGTCGGTGATAATTAGAATGGGGATGCTGAAGATGGGAAGTCAAAAAGGGGATTGTATGAGGGACCTGATGAGGATTTGGCTGCTATGCTTGAAAGGGATGTGTTGGACTCAACTCCTGGCGTCCATTGGGATGATGTTGCAGGTCTGTCTGAAGCCAAAAGGCTGCTTGAGGAAGCTGTTGTCCTTCCTTTGTGGATGCCTGAATACTTTCAGGTACTTTGCTTCTTGTGCTGCCAAATATGGGTTTGTACTTTATACTGTTTCTACTGGTCTGGAGCAACCATATAAATTAGGAAGAGGATGGAAGTTTCAGTTCATCTGTTATGTACTTTCACTCTTAATGTTTTATTATGTTCCAGTTATGGAGGATGCTTAATTTTGATTGCTCTTTCGTGTCTCTTCAGGGTATTAGGAGACCATGGAAAGGAGTTCTCATGTTTGGTCCTCCTGGGACAGGTAAAACTCTGTTGGCAAAAGCAGTTGCAACTGAGTGTGGTACCACCTTCTTCAACGTCTCTTCTGCTACCTTAGCATCAAAATGGCGCGGAGAGAGTGAGCGGATGGTCAGATGCCTGTTTGATCTAGCCAGGGCATATGCTCCAAGTACAATTTTTATTGACGAGATCGACTCTCTTTGCAATTCTCGAGGGTAATCTTCTTCACAACACTGAGATTGATTTCAGTACCGAATAGAATCCACGTGTAATTGGTGAGAGTGCATATGATGCAGGGGTTCCGGAGAGCATGAGTCGTCGAGAAGGGTGAAATCAGAACTCCTAGTTCAAGTAGATGGAGTGAGCAATACAGCAACAAATGAAGATGGTAGTCGCAAAATAGTGATGGTGTTAGCAGCTACCAATTTCCCATGGGACATAGACGAAGCTCTCAGGTTTCCAATATTCTTTTTCTTTTAATGTTTTTTTTAAGGTTGCTTAAATATAATAAGACTGCTGACTAACTATTGAGCTCGTAATACTCTATGCAGGAGGAGGCTGGAAAAACGTATATACATCCCACTTCCAGATTTCGAGAGTCGCAAGGCTCTTATCAATATCAATCTGAGAACAGTTGAGGTTAGTTGTGTGATATGAATATATTATACCTCTGCTGGCTCGATGCAATGCAGCATATGTAATGGATTGGTTATGTGTGTATGTGTGTTTTAGGTGGCGAGTGATGTGAACATTGAAGATGTGGCCCGGAGAACAGAAGGGTACAGTGGAGATGATCTGACAAACGTGTGCAGGGACGCGTCAATGAACGGGATGAGGCGTAAGATAGCAGGGAAAACGAGGGATGAGATAAAGAACATGTCAAAGGACGATATCTCAAACGATCCTGTGGCTATGTGTGATTTCGAAGAAGCCATAAAGAAAGTGCAACCCAGTGTGTCTTCCTCGGACATCGAGAAACACGAGAAGTGGTTGTCTGAGTTTGGATCCGCTTAAACCCTTAAGCTTAAACCAATCCACTTTTTTCATTAAAACAAAGTAACGTGTGAGCTTTTTGTGTTTGTTTATTTTGTGATTTATTATAATATTCTGTTGTTTATGTATCACTTATTCCAACTTGAAAAAAAAAGACTTCAAAAAATCTTAGGTTCAGGGAGACAACAGACAAGGATTGCATGATAATCAATCATCTACTTGAATAATTAAAACAATACACATGACAAGAAACTTAGAGACTAAAAAGATTGGAGTGGTGGTGTAAAAGAGCCAATGTTTGAGAGAGTCTTTCTCACTCTCAAACTCTTTATTTTCGATTTCATCTTTCCTAAAATCAAATATCAAAAACCCCCTTTTGTTTATATGTTGGTAGGAGCTGATTTCTCAGGCCAACTGCTAGTAGAGTCTCCAAGAGAACCGTTCCCACCTTCTTCCTGAGACACAACAGGTACCTTAACCGATGAAGCTCTCTCCATTTCCTTTTCAAGCTCTTCTTCAGACCTCAACGCATTGAACTGTCCCTCCAGGGACTTAGCTGCGGCTAACCACGCAGTGACAATGACCAGCAATATCATTCCTAAGTATGGTGTTGAATTTGCTAGTGATCCAAAGGATAAGATCATGAACTGCTGTATTAGAGCACCCCCTGATTTTCCCAATGGGTTGCAAACCACATCAATAGCAGCTTTCCCTTTCACCTGGAGCCAAAGTCACAAGCTCAAGCTAAAGAACACACAGATTCATTTCTTCAATAAAAAAAAAAGAAGAAAGATTAAGCTTACCTTGGTGTCCTCATCCAAGGGGATATAAGCCATTTCTTTACAAGGATCAAACAAGCTGTACTTGGCACTCTTGCTGAAGATATTCTGAAGAGCACCAACATAGACAGCTGCGAGTAATGGAGTCATACCAAGCTTGGCAACAAGTGGTGCGAATGGGCCACCAAACAGTATCAAGGAGAAGAAGGCAACGCCAGTCAATAACAGAACAGTTGGAGTGATCTTTGCAGCTACTCCCCAACCATACTTATCGAATACGTATTGACTGAGAAGCATCATTGTGAATGTTGCAATACCAGTGCATGTTGAGAAGTCACCCATGAATGCTGAGTACTCGTTCGGGCTAGGGAACTACAGAGCATAGGAAGGAAATCAAAAGCTAAGCATTGTGAATGCAAGGAAAAATAGATGAGGACATGTATGTATACCTGAGCTTTGAGCTTTGATTTCCATGTGACTTCCACAAGGTTGATACTAATACCATAAGCCACCACTAAAGTAGCAAGATCCCTAATGTATGGTGATGACACCAAGAACTTCAAACTCTCCATCGTTCCCATCTTCGGTTTGTTCTGTAAAAGAGATAAAACAAATCAGAAGAGCCCTCCTCATAAGCAGCAGAAAAACACAGAACAGAAACTTCTAAATGCCATTTACCTTCTTTTTCAGGCTACGAGTTGGAAGAGGAACATATCTATTGACCCACCAATAGAGGAAACAGATGGCAAGTCCCATCCCCACCACAATACTCATCATCGCTTTCAATGAAACTGCCCATCCATCAACTCCAGGACCAAGATTCTTTCTCAAGTTAGAAAAGTACTTCACTGTTCTTCCAGAGAAAATCAACGCAACATTGGCTCCAAGTCCAAACAAGGGATAGAATTTCTTGGCTTCATCCACAGTTGTGATCTGCAAAAAAGATTGAACCACTTCTATATGAAAAAAACTCACAAACCACTAACTAGTCATCATATATGCTGCATGGACTACACATCAACAAAGCATGTCATCAAACCATAAACACACCAATGAACAGAAGAAGCACACTAAGGGCAGAGTAATCACCTGATTAGCAAAGCCCCAGAAGAGAACTGAAATAACAACACTACCCCAAAGCTCAGCCATGACATAAAACAAACAGAAACTCCAAATCCTCAAGATAGCAAGAGGACCCATAAACCTTGGTCCAAGAGCAGCAAGGAGCTTATCAGCAAGAGCATCCGGGTGAATATAGTTGCTGAGAGGGTACATAACAAACCCAAACGCCCCAAAGTAGATAATAAAAGGTATAATCACAGTGTAAAACAGAGCCTTCTTGGAGAGAACGTTGGATAGTTTAGTGTAAAGAAGCATGAACCCAATAGCCATAGGGAGATTAACCCACGTCTTCAAAAAAGGTATAATCTCAGCTGAACTTCCTTTTGCCGTCACCACCAAGACGTCCTTAGTGTCCCTAAGGATCGTGTAGTTGAAGAGAATGCAAAAGAACATTAACCCTAAAGGTATAATCTTTTTTAAGGTTGTGACTTCCACGCCGAAGATCTTTGGTGACGGTGTAACTGCTGCGGCGGCTGTGTCGCCTTCGTTGAACAGAGCTCCGTCGCCGGTGGCAGATGCCTCCGCCTTGCATATGAACCCGTGACGGGTTGGGGGAAAGGATTGAACTTTCTTGTGAACGTTGAAGGAGAGAGACAAGGGAGGGAGGTTTCTTGGCTTGGAAGAGAAGAGTCTGTGCTTTAAGGCGTGGGGTGGGTGGAGAAGGCTTCTTGTTGCTCCGATGGGTTTGGCGGGTAAGGAGAGGAGTCCTCTGGTTTGTATCGCCGCTTCCATCTTTTATCTCTCTCTTCGAGAAAATACACAGAGAGAAATGTGAGAAGAGGAGGAGGAGGATGATAAAAGGAGGAAGGTGAGTGGGTAGTGGGAAGAAGAAAGAATATATTTTTTTTTTTCGAATTAGATATTTACAAATGTGGTAAACTGAATATTGGGAAAGGATGTAATAAAAGAAACACTAAAAAGGGTCACTGTCCGAATGTTAAATAAGCTAACTTTTCGGATTTAAGCAAATAAAAATTGATCTCGGCGAGATGAATTTGCGGTGGTGTGTGTTGTTCAACCATGTGAGCTTTTTCATGGTAGAAAAAGTCTCAGAGGGTGATACTAGGAATTCCTATATTGCCCTTAGATTCACAAGATAAATGACCGTTATGGTCTTTTTGAGATTATTTATTACTAATGAGTTGTTGGTGGGTGGCAACGACTTTCTTTTCTTTCGAGTTTGGTGGCTTAATAATGGACCCTATTACTTTACCTAAAATTAAATCACGTGTTATTTAGTTTAGTATTAAGAAAATGATAGTACTATTGTTTATTCATATTTTTAAGGTTTAATGTAGTCAGATGGAGTTTAATCCATAGGGACTAGGGAGTTTAATCCATAGTTTGGATCGTCTTATCGAGATTTTATTTTTACTATTAGGTTTTTTTTGTAGAATTAGTTTGCGTACCAATGCAAAACAGGATATATATATATATATATATATATATAAATCTTGGTGTAATATTTATAAGTGTCAAAACAAAATATATTTGGATCATCTTCCTTGATTGGTCGATCATCAAGTAAGTCATCTACACTCAATTGTTTTCATTTTCAAACGTAAGAGAATTTGCATCCTCTGTCCATTTCTGACGGCGGTCCAAAATTAAGACGGCAAAGGAAATAATAAGATGACCAAACTCTCAGAGGCATTTTCTTTTTCTCATTTGACCATTTTTATTTGTCCATTCGTCTAACTTTATAGTATCGCATTAGGGCTGGGTAAAAAAAACGAATCCGAATCAAATCCGACCCGATAAAAAGGAACCCGAACCGATACGAACCCGACATAAGTACCGAATGGATCTTGTTTTACGGTATTTCGGGTTATGGGTATTACCCGAACCGAACCTGAACTTAAATGGATATCCGAAAGAATCCGAAACTTTAAAATTCCAAAAAAACTTGTATCATATCCAATCTAAATTTCTAATATGTTTCCAAAACATATTAATATATTATTGAGTACCTACAATAATTAGTTATAATATAAATAATTAACTCAAATATTTAGTCTAATATATAGTGTTATCTGGTTAATATTAATGTTTATGATTGACATTACATTTGAAGTTAAGTTACGGATAAATTTGTTTTGAAGTTTATATAATGTTGTTTTTAAAAGTTTAAATAGCACTTCTTATGATTATAGAATTGTTAGTTGTTAACTTTAATTTTTTATGTTTCATTATGTATTATATTTCGTTCATACAAGGCTTTGGTTTGTCATTAATCATGATAGGTTTAGTGTTGTCACATATAGTTAATTGACAAATCATATATGGTTGATAGATGAGTTTCACAATATTATTTTCAAGGAGAACAATATGGTTTGTAGAAGCTAAATACACAAATTTAATAAAATGATTGAAAATATAGTGAGTTTAATTAAGTATAAATTAGTATTTTTAGAACCGATAACCCGATTAGTATCCGAAACCGAAACTATTTCGGGTTCAACTGGATCTTGGACATGTTACTAAACCCGAACCGAACCCGACTAAACCCGAACCGAATCCGACCCGAATTTTTATAATATCCGAATGGGGTTAAAATTCATGAACCCGAAAACCTGAAACCCGAATGAACCCGAACCTAAACCCGATTGGGACCCCGATCGCCCAACCCTATATCGCATAATTATATTCCAAAGGACCAAATAGAAAACATATTCGTTGGAAAGGTGGTCTCAAATTTGACAAGGGCGCATCATCTTGTAAAACAAGTTGACATAAGGAAAAATATGGCACCAACTCTTCGAATTGTCTCAATTGGAATCTTCGTGGGCTTTTCTTTATCAAAGTTGTATCCATTCCATTCACCAAACTATACAAAGAAAATTAAACTCATGTTTTTAGTTATTAATTTTAATGCAAATACATGGTTTCTTCGTAATATATACTTATTATATCTATTGAAATAAGTGGTTTTTCTTTGTGCTGCTCTGAAAGAAAATTGACTCACGGATGTTTCTGTAAGAAAAGTCGATATAATTTATGTTTTCATGTTCAAACAAAAAAAAAATCGTTAATTTTGATGAAGATGATAATTAACAGCCGGCCGTGGGATGAAATCGACGTTTCTATTGTCAGTGTGCTCCAACTTGTGCCAGAGAAATTTCACAAGGAGGGAAAGAAGTATGGGAGCGTGTTGGTTTTCTGACCTAAAAAAATCCAATCGATTCCTTCCATTCTCAACGTTCTTTCTGTGAGAAACATTAACTTGTAGTACAGTGGGACCAGATGGTTTCACGAGACATAGCCTTTTTTACAACTCGACGGTAATGAGATCTTCCACTTGGCGAAATAATGAACGGTTCTTCATTTACATGCAAGCAAGTTTGCACTTTTTACCCAGAGGGAAGACGAATAAATATTTGCATTAACATTGTTCCTATTTGTACTGGGTGTGTGTGTGTGGTGACGAATAGTAACAGTAAAAACAAACGGTGTTTCATGGATACACGTCACACTCTTGCTCTTTCCGCCCAAGATATTTCTCTCTTTTGTCTTTTTTTCTTTCTTTCTATAAAACAAAAACTCCTCCGAGGCTCCGACGGCTCCGTGTATGCCACGCCATTTTCAAGAAGTCTCTATTTGCAAGCAATGGCATATATTCATTTTTATCCTTGTTATTACTGGACTTGGATATTTTAGAAATTTAGTTATCCCCGTTTACAAACAAAAAATGATCTCAAAACCAAAGCTAGCAAATACTCGTTACTGGACTTGGACACATAAAAAAGGCAATGCTTTTGAAATGGTTCATTCTTCTTCTTGTATCGTGGGGTATTAAGGCCCATCAAGATATGAGTTTGGGCCTCGTTATTATGTCACTTAACCTAAGTAGTCATGAGTAGTATAAAGGATGTGCGAGTGTTAGAGAGAAAGGTCATCTAGAGATTAGATCAATCATGAACATGGAGAGGTGAGAGTACTCTCAAGCAATTCTCTCAAAGTTACTTGTAAACACTTATCTATTTCATAATATAATCAATATTTTCTTTTGTAATCTCTGTTCTACAAGTTTGGATACGTAAATCGTATCAGTATCACACACACACAAGCATTCGGATTTACGAAACAGCCCTTGTTCCCTCAACAGAGTTCACAAACTTACCACAACTATACATACATCTATGGCATCTTGCCAATTACTCAATGAGCTAATGCATTTGCTTGAAGGTCTTAGTGAGTCACTTGTTTCTTTTTAGCTCACAAACTTTTGTATGCCCCTAAAAGAAAAAGTTGGAGATTATTCTGAGGTATAAGCAGTTGTGTATCAATTCATCATAACCAGAGTTCTTGCTTGGAGTCTTCTATTTATTTATCAGTTAAAAGATGAGTAACATTCCATCTCATTTTATTGCAAGTCACTCATAGAACCAAACTACCCGGTTTTATATGAGAGGCTTGGACGGTTTCTAAAGTGTATAGACCATCAAATAACCCAAGCAGAAACATTATAAAAAAACATTACCTAAGCAAAGCCTCAAAACTAAACGTTAGGAAGACAAATGGAGCAAAACAGAAAGAACAAAAGGAGTAGGAAAAGAGTCAACTCAATCCAGAATATCAGAGATGGCTGTCTTCTTAAATGGATCACCTTGAGCCAACTGTGCAGCCATTGCTTTGTTTGGAAATATATTATCAGCCTTCATTCTATCTCGCATCCCATACGCAGGGGCTTTGGCGTTCAAGTAAGCCTGCAAGAGTGCCTGGAACTGCCTAAGCCGAGATGTATACCCAACTTCCCTCATCTTTAGGAATATCTTCTCACTGTTGTGAACATCTCCCCGTTTTGCGTACTCGTCCATGATGTACATGAACGAGCTCATCATCAGCTTGGTATGGCTCTGTTTTGATGCCTTGCTCAACAAAGAATCAGCCTTCTCAACTTCCCCTGCTTCCACGTAAAGCCTGATGAGTGCATCCCATGTCGATGCCTCAATCCTGCAACCGGTCTCTGCCATTCGCTTAACCAGATCCTTACCCTTTGAGAGCATCTTGTGATCCACATACACCCTGAGGAGAACAGAGTAAGTGTTGGAAGAAGCCCTTCTGTCCATCTTGACAATCTTCTCAAAGATCTCCTCTGCCTCTTGTACTTTATTGAGCTTTCCAAAAGCTTGGATTGCAGAAAGGGACTCCTCAAACTGGGGCTTAGATTCACAGATCTTCCATATCCTCCTCACCTCATCTTCTCTCCCAAGAGAGGCATAGATAGAGAGCAAATCTTTGAATGCCCTGCGGTTTGCCTCTAAGCTCTCACCTTCCATCTCTTTCAAAACATTCTCTGCTTTCTCTCTAAGCCCAGCTCCTGAGTAGTGTCTCGCAATGATAGCTTGTGTACTGAAGTCCGGGTCAACACCTTCATCTTTCATCGTCTCCACAATCTGCTCCATCCCCTTTATGTCATTCGACGACCCTTTGACATCAATCAAGATCTTGTAAGTGAGGAGACTCGGCTTGACATTCTCTTTCTCCATGAGCAAAAGCACATCAGCTATCTTCTTTCTATCCACTCTCTTGTAGAGGAGAAGCATCTGATCACAAGTGAAACCAGAGCGAGGGAATCCCAAATCCTTCATTCTGTTGAACACAAGCTCAGACTTCTTGACATTACAAGCAACCACACAGTTGGCTAAGAGGGTACGGTACATCACTTCCCCTCTGAAGGATTTGGGGATCTTGTCCACATAAGCTTCTCCCTTCTCTAAGCCACGAGTCTTAACAATCAAATCTAACCTAGAAGCATAGTCTCTCTCATTCATTTCAATTTTCTTATTTGCCTCCAACCACTCTGACATCTATTCAAAGAGAAGAAACAAAAAGTTAGCAAGTGGAACAAATAAAAGAACACAACAACAAGTAAGCTAACCTGTAACGCTCTTCCATACATACGACGCCTACGTAGCTGAAGCATAGCCTTAGCAACCTCAGTTCTGTTGATCTCATTTCCTTCTTCCTCCACCCATTTATCAAGTGCACTACCAACAGAGAGACCACCTGCAGAAACAACGGCTTTAAAAAGGTCGGATAGCTTCTTTTCTACAGTCTTTCTACTATCATCGGTTTCAGTAATGTCCATCTCCAGCTCCTCTTCTTCATCATCATCATCATCAGCAGAGAGCTTTCCCTCATCAACCTCACTATCATCATCACTACTACTACTAGTACTAGACTCTTGGCCTGACTTTGAGCTTTCCAGTTCGGAGAAACCGTCTTCTAGGTCATCTTCTTCTTGATCACTCTTAGTGCCAGTACTCGAGGAGAGTAGACGGTTACTCATGGAAGACGCGTTGTAAACTCTTGGAAGGGGTTCAAGTTGATCATGTACAATGGAATGGGATTGAAGAGTGAAGAAGCTTCTTTCTCCGGATTGATGAATCTCGTTTGAGTAAAGAGTAGTACTACAAGCACCAAGTCGGAGTCTTTGGGATCTGCAAAAAAAAATAGTATAAAGTTGCTAGCTTGTTTTAAACAAAATAAAAAGGAAACTTTTTTTGCTAGATTGTAACAAGGTAAACCCTAAAAAGGAGATAGCTTTCGGATCAAGAGAGAGAGAGATTCTAACCTCCGCAAAACTTTTGAAAGGGCGAACATGTTTGGTACCTCGAAATGATCACTGCAAAAACATACCACAAAGATCAGATTAAACAGATATAAAAATCTTGTGCTACAGTTAGCAATAGATCAGATTCGAAAGATAAAGCGAAGAAGGTTACCGTCGTGTAAATTTGGAGTCGACGAAAAAGAAGAAATGAGAACAGAGAGTTGATGAAATGAGAGGGGAGATACTGTCAAAATAAGGGTTTAGGGTTTTACGCTCTTTTTCGGAATGACCATTTTGTCCTCGGATAAGCCTAAATGTTTGTGTCTTTGTGATATGCTTTATCTTCTCAAAAGCAGGCTTACCAGATGGGCTTTTTAAAGTATATGCTGAAACCCCTTTGTTAAACTTTGTGGAAAATGGTTAATATCATTTTTTACATGTGCATAAACATCTAAAAAGCTGGATATGGAAAATGTGTAATTTCTAATCTACACACATATTACAAACGATGTCTAATTAAAAACCAGTGACCAGCCTTGAAGCTTACGATGGAAGAGGTCTAGAAACTCCAACAATGGCTCGAAAGATCCAAAGATTTGAAGACCATTCCCCCGTTGATTCAGACATCAGATTTGGCAGTTCATGTTCTGGAAGACATGGTCTCTGCTCCAGAAGCAGTCATCAAGCTTCCAGTGTCAGGCATGTAGTGATAATTGTAATTGATTCTGGTCACTAAATCAGCCAAATGAGGAAAGTGTCCCACATTAAGCTTAGAAGACAACACCTGCAAGTTCAATTTCTCAATCACCACTTTACTATCAACTATAACCAAGTATAAAGAGTTTTAAGATAAGATTTTCTTACTCTAAGAAGGAAAGCAATGCAGTCTTCAAACTGTTTCTCAATGCGGTCTATTTCCATTTCGCACCTAGCTTTGATCGCTGAAGCTGCTCCTCCGCTGCTAAGTGTCTGTTGTATTGAGTAGAATTCTAGAGCTAATCCCAGGATCATGTTGATCCGACTTGCGATGATTGCCCACTATAAAAAAACAACCAAACACTAAGTTTTTTTTTAATAGAGCTACAAATTCATATAGTTGTGCAATCAAAAAGAGATCATTACCAACTTTTCTTGAACCACAAAGCATTGCCTCTGAATTGATAACAAGTAGGTCTCGTGTACATATATGACCTCGTCCAGAGATCCTGCTTTTACCATAGCTTCGCACAGTTCACTCCATGCCGTGTGATATACCTGCTCACGAAAATCTAGTTTATGCCTGATATTGTGCTCGTAACATCTGCTTTCAACTATTCTACAACTACTCAACATACTTATATTAAAACAATGATACTGTAATTATAACCAATGATCTAGTATCAGACAATACCCTGTCCATTACGTATTGATGAAAAGCGTCCACAAAATTGAGGAGCTTCTGTTCCAGTAACCAGTGGTGCTTGCGGATTTTTGTTGCAGAGCCTTTACCCTATTATACACAAACACACCAAGTCTCAAACTAAACCACACTATTATGATTACCACTTATATTCATCAGTATTGATCAAATTACTGATTAGGCTCTTTGAAACTGGATTTGAATGTCATATGAAGTAGTCTAAAATGGTAGAAATGAGTTCAAGAGGTATCAAATACCTTCCACATCCACCTTCGTGCTTTATCAAGCACATATTTTGCTCGTTTGACCTTCAACAAAAATCCCATCACCTGTTTTCATGTAAATAATTAACACACAGAAAAACAAACTGTCTCACCCCAAAAAAAAACTGGATGAGAAAGGGTTACCTGGTTATACTTCTTAATAGTCTCACTGTTGGCAATAAGTTCAAGCGGCCATGGCACCTTAAAAAAGAAAATAGTTCAGATCTTTAAATACAGATGGTTGTATCCATGATTTAAGCTAATACGCTGCAATTTGTTAGAAGAGTAAATGTCTTTCTCTAGACCTTGTATGTAAATTTCAGAGACTCGAGGCAGTCTATCCCAAAATTGTTAACGCGGCTTTTACGAGTTGAGGAAAGGGATATTACGTCACCCTTGTCATCTGTGTCTTTGTCTAAACAACCTTCTCTAGAAATAGATACCACTAATGAATCAGGGCTGTTTAACAGCATGGCGTCAGCTGAATTTCTAATTGATTCCTGTGGATAACCATTACAATTTGGAATTAATAGGTTTGTATGAACAGATATACGACAATAGAAACCATTAACACGCAGAAATTCTAAGAAGTGATAACTATAAAGATGAGAGCAGTGTCTCTACAAAGAAGTTCAGCAAACCTGGTTACCTGAAGGATTATATTCAGCTCAAAATCATCATCCGATAACTCTCCCTTGCCCAGCCTATCGAATGTGACAGTCAGAAAATGCTGCAGAAGGTCACCTGGAAACTTTAAGGTGTTATTAAGAGATTCCAGATACGACTCTATAAGCCAGAGGGGTTGAAGCACAGAAAAACGTACCTGAACCTAACAAGTAAATGGCACGCAGCACCGAAAGTTCATGCATCAATCTCCACTCATTCATTAGTTTTGACAAAATCACTTTGCCAATATAGTCCACCTACAACACACACAACTTTCATAAGGTAACAGAAGTATGCATGCGTAGGAACCAACGGCAATGCAAAGCTTACATCACCGTACCTGCCTCCTGATGTAGATTGTAAAGCATTCTTGCATTATTACAACGGGAAGTGGAGTATTCATTGGCTCTGCCTTTAGCATCCAGCTGAGAACTCTTGAAAGAAGTGTACTATTCTTTTGGTAAGGTAGCAATTCTGACATATGGAGTTTCGGCTTTTTGTTGTTGTTCATAACAAAGACTTTTAAGTCAGCTATCAGAAAAGTGAAGGAATGGACATAGAGTGATCATCAAAACACTATCAAACCTGGAATGACGGAAGCAAAGTGGGAAAGGGAAACAGTGTTTCTAGAACGTCAGTATCATCCTGAGAAGAAAGATATTCAGACCTGCCAAATTGGAATCCAAATTTGTAGTTTGTGCCGATCAATCCAGCATCTGCCACGCCAGACCCCTCGAAGACAGCACTCAACAAACTCTCATCATTTAGAGAAGGTAGACAATAGTTGTGTGATAAGTTCAGGACATTCCAAGCATTTGCATTCCTCTCAAGGTCCATTTTAGATACTGCAACAACAGGGTTTTCATGACAGAACAAATTCGGCAACGCCTTTTTGACAGTGATACCTTCATTTTCGTCCTTAACGCCAGTAACATAACATGCACTCTCGTGTTCTGATTTGGCCTCCTTAGCTCTTCTCTCTTGCACAGCACCGACCAACAACTTATACCAGATTCGCTCTGAGCATGTAATAACTGGAAGATCTTTATTAACCATGTCATTCTCCAGCTGTCCACTTATATATGATGATAAAGCTGGAGAAATCTCCCACTCATCCGCCTCATCTCTCCAGAGATATCTAGAGACATGATCACCATGGCCTATAAGGCCAGCAAGAGTTAGGCAAAATATTTCAGACAAAGATAAGTCTGCAGTACTCCTAACGTTGTTCTTCTTAGCCAGTCGTGCCCCACAGCCGGAATTCCCTAAACCATTTCGCCCATGGTACTGAATCTTTCCAGAAGTTTCTGACGACGTGGAATGAATATGCTGCATCAGCTGCAGTGACTTTCCAGCAGAAACAATCGACTTACTAATGTCTTTTATGAATATTGGGCATAACACCCGGTTCTTCTGCTCTTTTTCTCTGTCAGAAACTGAACTGGGGTCATTTCTAGTCAGTCCTTTCTTTTCATTTAGCGAAGATACACTTGATTTTGGGCCCGGCACCCTCGTCAACATATAGCTTTTCTCCCAAAATTCTGCATCGTTTACGGAGACCGATTGGTTGGCTGTAAAAAACAACTGCGAAGAACAAAAGTGAAACTTCATCTCAGCCAAAGATTTATCATCATCAACTAAAGATGTTTGAACACCTACCTCTCCAAAAGGATCATCAAGAGTTCCTTCAAACAACCATGAGTCCAAACCCTCTATATATGGCAATAGAGTTCCAGCAAAGATTTGCAGCAGCATATGAAATCCTTCAACCTGGTCAAGAAATATCAATTAGGGAAGTGTTAACACAACAACAACAACAAAAAACAGAAAAAAATAATGAAAAAAGAAGGACACAAACCTCACCACCTTGTACAAGGCATACATCATCCAACTTCATGTAAAGGTAATCAAGAACGTGGACAGCAACTTCAGCAGTCGAAATAGTTGAACTGGACTCAAAATAACCCTGAGGGATAGCACCTCGTACAACTTGTAAAAGGTATTCAGCACCTGAACAAAGACTAGCAAATGGAAAAGAAAGAATAAATCTTGTAATGAGTAATCGCATCCTATTATATAAAACTAAATAGAATACAGACCTAGATAAAGAACTTGTTAGCCCCAAGAGAGTTGGAGTGAAGGTAACATTAGCTGAACGGTTGATCTTCACTTCCTCGTTTAAAGCAATATCTCTGAGTCTCTGTGTCCAAATGGAAAATTGTAAACTAGCCTCAGAAATATACAAGAAGAGCCAAAAGTAAGTAAAGAGGATGCTTGCCTGAAGCCACGCAGAGACAGAATTAGAAAACGCCAATAAAGTAGGAGGAGAGTTGTTATTATTAATCCCAGCAACGGTAGACTCCACAAGCTTCAAACATGTTGCGGCGTACAGAAAAGGAGCGAGGAGTGCATGGAGGCTTGCGGGGGACAAATGAGAGACGCGAATCATCTCGGTGGTTTTAGCGTGGAAACTCTGTCTAGTTTTGTCCCATAAAACGAAGGGACTAGACAGACCTTGCATAGCTTGTAAGAGACCTCTTACCTGTCAACATTATTGAGGGAAGTTAAAAAGTTTTCTAAGACAAAAAAAAAAATGGATGTTAGGCGATGAGGAATGTGTAGTTGCTCATTACCAGATCCAATTCAGTCACGGTCAGTGAGGGAGTGGAGTGTGTCCAGACTCTGCGGCTGCACATCGTTACACTATCTTCTAAGCCGTCTCGATGCTGCAGCAGCGACTCCGTCATTTTTTGTTGTTCCGCTACTGCTAATTGAGGGAAATTGGAAAAAGCTTTCGAGAGAGAGATTATTATTGACTAGATTTTATACTCGCGCTATGCGCGAGTCTGTATTAATAATTTAGTTTAGTTTTAAAATAATTTAAAACAAAAAAAATAATTGGGTAACATAATTTTATTATTTAAAATATAATTTTAAATTTAGTATTTGTGTTTTCTTATAATTATGTTATCTTATTAGCTATTTAGTTATTTGTATTTGTAAATATAATAATTATGTTGTAAACATATTCATAATC